CCTAAACCCAACCTAACCTACCCCATCCTAAACCCAACCTAACCTACCCCATCCTTACCTACCCTATCCTACCCCATCCTAACCTAACCCCATCCCAACCTACCCTATCCTACCCCATCCTAACCTAACCCCATAGGTTAGGTTAGGATGGGTGGGTTAGGGTTTATAAATATAAAATATTTGTTTGGCCACTGGAAATTTTAATGTGTGATATCAGAGAAATTTCTGAGGACACAAATGTCTCTGTCTCTCTCTCAATTCAATTCAATTTGCTTTATTGGCATGAAAGTTTAAAAACAGTATTGCCAAAGCATCACTCTCTCTCTCTGTGTTTCTGTCTGTCTGTGTGTCTGTCTCGCTCTCTCTCTGTGTCTCTCTCTCTGTTAACCAACATGTCTCTCTCTGTGTCTCTCTTTCTCGCTCGCTCGCTCTCTCGCTCTCTCTCTGTTAACCAACATGTCTCTCTCTTTCTCGCTCTGTTTCTCTCTCTCTCTCTCAAATTTAAATTTGCTTTATTGGCATGAAAGTTTTGAAACAGTATTGCCAAAGCATCAAAAAATTAAACATACAATAACATCAATACACAACAATATCAATATAACAATAATATTAATACAACATCTCATAAAGTGGTGTGAGACAGAGCCTCCATTGCTCCCACGTTACCTGTAGGCCACCGCAGCTCTCTGACACCGAAGCAAAGGGAGGGTCGAAGTGAGAGAGAGAGAGAGATCCACGGATAGATAGATCTCTCTCTCTCTCTGTCTCTCTCCCAATTCAACCCAAACTCAGATCTGCTCCATTGGCATGAACGCCCAGGAACGGCATCGCCAAAGCGTCACCTGCTGTCCCTCAGGTTGTGGCATGTTAGTACATACTGGGCAGCAAGGTCTCCTCTCTCCTTCTCCTAGGAGGACTTTTCATTTTGAGATATCACTCCATTTTTTAAAATCTGAAATCACAGAGTCAAATTTGTTTCAGTAGATGTTCCTAATTTTATGGAATGTTTTGCATTTTAGGAGGAAGTGCATCTCCGTCTCAGCCTCACCGGTCCCACAGTGACCACATGTTCTGTTCTCTCTTGGTTGCCATGACTTTTTGTGTCGTCCTGTTTCAATCTCCAGTTTGTGGTCACTGAGCCTGTACTTGGTGAGGTTCTGTCTCTGCTTTATGTCTCTGACTGTAGAGAGGTACTCTGCCAATTCATAGTCTCTCTCTCTCTCTGTGTGTGTGTGTGTGTGTGTGTGTGTGTGTGTGTGTGTGTGTGTGTTAACCAACATGTCTCTCTCTGTCTCTCAGGCCGGATGGAAGGAGAGTCACGCCACCTTCATGACTGAGCTGAGGAACCTTCATGCAGCCGGTCTGACGTCCATCGGCACCTCTCTGAGGACGGCCTTTGATCTACTGAACCTCAATAGATTAGTGACGGGGATCGACAACTATGGACAGGTACGTAGGGGGAGGAAGAGCAGGTGATGATGAGGAGCTATATGACAC